TAACCAGTGCCAGCTCATTAATATAAAACGGGGAGGGCGTCGATCAGCTGCATTTTCGATAACTAAACTGCCATAGTCGTAACTGAACTCGACTCCTTGCTGAAAAACACAGGCAAGACTTCCTAAAAGTATAGCCTGCATCTTAATGGATTAAAATTTCATCCGGCGCATTAGGTTCAGTAAAATATGAATGCGTTGCTTTAAATTTTAATCATAAATCAGAGCAGGGATACATGAGAGGCGACAGTGATTTCTCCCCTGATGTCTCCATGGGTCAGGAAATGAAAGGGGGACTCTAATTTTATTTAGGCAAGCCCATTTGTGTGGCGAGCCTGCAGGAAGACTAATGGCTTTGGAAGGCTTGCAGAGGCAGTCCTGCGCTGGTACGGGAAGGCTGGCCGCTGCTTTGGGACAGCTGCATCTCACATCTGCCTCAGGTCAGTCAGTTGCGCAGGCTGCAGTCAGACAAAGAGGCCGCCACGACCAAAAGCGCCGGAAGACCTTTGCCAGGGTGGCTCCATCCTGCCTTTTGCTAGCACCATCAGCAGACACAGTGACAACACAGTATTATTAGGAGAAAACAATATCACGAATGCACCATCAACAAAATCTCAGTCGGGCCTTGTCATTAGTAACCGCCATGACTCAGGACTCCTGCTTCCTCCCTCGGGATTCCACTCAACTTTGGTTCCCCGTGGATTTCAGAGAGAGTCCTTGGCAGACCTTGCTAGCTGTGAGGCCAACGGCCGGTTTCCTTTTGACTGTGGTGAGGGCAATACCTCTATATTTTAAAGAGATTCGTCCCAATAAATTCAAATTATGACATTACCATTATAAAGTATCTTCTCCTTTTTTGGGGAAAAAATACTGAACTTTATGTTTCTGATTCCTAAAAGACTAGGAGACCACAACACGGCAAGAAGCGCTTGTTTACATGACCTCGTTTTGTGTTTTGCTTTCCTCACGTGAAGATGACAAAGGAGGTGTATTCTATGGGTTGCATTTTTGTTTGTATATGTTTTCTTCCAAAAGTGGTGGGGCTTAGATCCGCATAACTGGGAATCGTTTTAAAAAGACAATCCTCACTCAGTGGCAAAAACTGTAATCCTGAGCCTAATTAGGTTCTGTAAATCTTTGCCTACCTGTGTACAAGTATATAGCTAGTACACCGTTTAGGAGAGAGAGTTTTGTGGAAAAGAAAGTGGATGGCTAATCTGTATTAATAACCCGAATATAGCAACCTCCTCCCTGCACAGACCTTCGGAAAATAAGGCCTTGGAGAGTGCATTGTTGAAATAATCTTTGCTAAATGTAGCACCAAACAAAGTTTGCCCACTTATTTCAATCGTGTTCTCTTTATTTCATGAATATATTAGAACCCTTATTTACCATAGGAAGTGGTGACAAGTGTTTAGCATTTTGGAGATCAGTTGTCAGTTGCTATTAAAATCAAGATTAATTCGTATTAACGATATGCATTCTCTGTTCTCCCATGTGACAGCATACATTAAAACAACTAGTGCAAGTAATTAAACCCAATACAGGGGGTTAAATATTTTTAAAAGAGGATTTTAAACTCAAAGTTCACTCGAGAGCTAGGAATTAAGTTCATGTGGTTCTGTTCATTTGAAACATTAGGAGGTAATTTGATTTTAAATCTGTTTGGTGGTTAAGGCAATTTTACCTTGGCCTTTTGGTTTTTCAATCTCAACGTTCTCTTGAAATAAAGTATAAACAGTTTATTTTTGCTAAGAACTCAGAACCTGAAACACAAAAACAGAATGTAGTAGGTTGAATCGAGGGTTGGCGGACTTCAGCCTGCCAGCTCTCCCGTACCTGGCCTTCAGTTGCTTCTTGTAAACTTAACTCAATATAATAAAGTGAAAATACAAAAAAATATTATCTGTGGGGGGTTTTTATTAGGCATTTGAGATGCTCAATAGTTTAGACTAATTAGACAAGCCAAAAGCCTTTTGAAGATTAAGCAAATTGGACAACCCTTGTTAATTAGAACATAATTTAAAGTTTGAAATTATATCACTGATGAAGTAGCCTAATTAGTATGACGATATGTTAATGGCCTACCGAGACAGGCCCGCGTGGAGGGCTGGCATGAACTCCTTCAAGGCTTGCGAGAATCTGCTCTTTTCCCCCCCTGTATTGTCATTAATAAAAGATTTCTATAGACTTCAGCCTTTCAACGGTTACATACAATTTATAGTACACACAATGCATTAGCCCATAGTGCTGCTTCCTTTTTTTTTTTTACTATTATGAAAACTAATAAATTCGTCAAGCTGAATTAAGCATACAAATCAGATGAGGCATAACAGATTACATATTGAAGCGCTGTGTCTCCCGAGCCTAAATGAAATTTCAATCTAATAATTCCTTCCTGGCCCGGCCATAATTTGTTTAGAGATGTTGTTCCACTCCTTTCCAAGCGCTGTTCGCACAATAATTAAATGATACTCAAGCTTTTAACTTTGATTTATTTCATTTCTTTGAGCTGGCGACAGTGAAAGCTGATACAATGGATTTTTTTTTATTTCCCTGAAAATTACGAAGCCTACCGTTTGGGGGTGAGAAATTAAACACCTAAGCGCTTACTGAAGCGCGCAGTGTAAACTTACAGTGCAAAAAAGGGGCTGGGTGGTATTGAAATGTCAATCTACCACTTTCACACACAGGCGGGCGAACAGAATATGTTTATTATGAAGATGAAATACATCCGATTGACAGAACCAGAGGAACCGGGTAGTATTAAAACCCACAGTCTTTAACCTGAGCCTATCATCTGGTTTTCGGTGGGACTTGAAGGAGCCGGATTGTAGGAGTCGACTTGGGTCCAGACTGTGGAGGCCCGGTCCTCAGCCCCCCCCCCTTACCCCTGAGAGCGGAGTGCCCCCCGGCAGCCCTGGGACACCCCCTCCCTGCAGGTGGCCGCGCGGAAAGCCTGGTGAGGGCCGGCAGGGAGCATCGCCCTGGGCGGGTCCGACTCCGGGCTGGGCGATGCCTCCCCTTCTCCTCCCAGTAGTCGGCTACCTCAGCGGCTGCCCCTGGAGGCGTTCGGCTCCAGCACGTGCAGCGCAGAAAAGAAGCTGCAAACAAAGGTGGCTGTGGGAGGGAGGGAGCGAGCGAGCGAGGGAGGGAGCAAGGAAGGGAGGCGGCGGCGGCAGCAGCACCCTCTGCCTCCCTCGCCCACTTTGGAGAGCGGCGGCGGCGGCGGCGGCAGGGCTGGGCGCGGCGTTCCCAGGAGC